AGACCCCGTTTACACTGTCCCGTGCAAGTTTGGAACCGTGGCAAAACTGTCGCGGTTCGCCCTTGCGTTTACACTAGCACTGTGGAACCGTGACGATTTTGCTCTGCTATCCGGAACAGTTTTGACCCTGCTTTGAAAGCGAACGAATTTTGTACCGTCACGGTTCCGTTTTTGAACGGGACAGTGTAAACACCTATCCGAGACGATTTTGTCACGGATTCACAAAGAGGTCTTTTGTATGGCTGTTTCAGGTAATCGAGGCTTTGATTGTGGCGTAACTACGTTCTCAAATTCTGAAGAAAAGGAAATTCTGAAGAAAAGACGACCACAGAAAAGGCTTGTAGTGTTTCCCTGTCCAAGCCTTGATTGGACTTTGCAGTTTTGTAGTCTAAAATAACACTGAAAATTAAAGCCACCTTGTCTTTCGTCCAAGTAAAGTTTTAATCGGCCTTCCGCTCCATTTTAACTCACAATAAAAATTCGATTGTTGACTTCAGCGGCAAAATAAAAACCTTGGTTGACTAAATACAGCTTCTTCTAAACAATGTTCTACCATTAAATTAAGGTCGTACCGGTACAGTGTAAACGGAACGGCTAAACAGAACAATTTGGAACCGCGACAGTGTAAACACTTGCGAACCGTAACGGTACAAAATTGTCCCGGGACAGTGTAAACGGGGTCTAAAGCTTTTCGTCTGACACTCTTCAGAGTTTAAAACGTCAAAACATAGACCGAAAACTCTACGCTAGGAAATATATATACCCAGTTGTGGATCGAAATAGGCCAAGACAAGAATGAAGTTTAAATAATGTCTCGAAAGCCTAAACATTATCTACAAAAGGCAATTAATATAGAAGTGGCTGCAGGAAAGAATATTTTTCACCCCTGATAGGCATGGTAAATAAAAAGCATCGTTGATTGCTATCAAAGGTATAAAATAACCTATCAAATTTCAAAAGCTGACGAATAATCGAAAACACGAATGCTACCTGTACGATGCTGTATGATACAGGACCTTATTAAGAAATTGCTATATTGCAATAAATTTCAAGCTTTGAACGTTTTTGAAGTTAAAAATTCTGCACTGATTAAATGCTTAAGATGAGCATTGATGATAATGAACATGTCACCAACCCGAACTGTTGCATCTCGCCCTCCGGTGCAGAGAACATCGATGGCGGGGTGCAGTCCAATACAGTAGCAAGCACTGAGATGACCGTGATAATGACGTATAACCTTGAAAAGAATGGTAGTAGGGTAAATTAAACACACTGTTAAAAATGGCAGCCTTTAAAATACTCTTTATGATCACCTGAATCCTTTGTAAAGAATTGTGCAGGTACATAGCTTCGAATGGAAATTGAATTCAATCGAAAGTATTAAATTGTTTTGATACTTGTTTATACTGATAAATATCTATCCAAGTGATTATATTCTTTGAGGCCTACGATTATATTTGCTACAATGATAAAAGCAGTGTTCATAAGTGCCTCTAATACTTATATACCTTCAATACAGCGCTAGTGTCTTTAGTCAATACAGAATTGTGACTGAATCTGATGTTAAAAAGTTGTTACAATATTTGATTGTGAATTCTAAATTTTACAAGAAATTCACATAGGCCTAGCATGGCTAACACAAAACCAACATAGAATGAAAACAAAAAATGGTAGAAAAGATTTCACAAGCATGGATGTCTAAAGGTATGATCAAACTGATATAAAATATGTAATTACTCCTTTGTCAGTTTTAAGCGAGTATATTATTCTTAATCTTTATCATTCTATTAATTAAAAAAATATCAATTTCAATTTCCATGTCATCAGACAGCATAAACTCTCGTCCAATTTTTCAATACAGACAACTTTTATTTCTAGCAAACCCAACACTTTCAAGACATCCTAACAACTTTGGTCTAGGGAATTGCTATACCAATCTGGCTCCGTCCTGATTCATCTAAAGTAGCTTAAAAATAAGAAAAAGTGATACCTTGTTGTATTCAAGATCCCAGCACTTGACTTGCTTGTCTTCACCGCAGGAAAACAAATAAGGATGCCGTGGACTAACGACAAGCCCCCGAACTGTACTGACATGACCTGTCAATGATAGCTTCAATTTTCCAGTTGCTAAATCCCAGATCTAGAAGGCGAGAGAGTGGCAGGTGAAATCTTACTTGCCTACAAACGTTGTCAAAGCACACAGGATTATCATTTTAGTGGTACAAAAACACTTGAAAGCAAAAAATGGGACTTAGTGAAGTGAATAAGTATAAAACCATAAAGCTGTGTCTTCAATCCAATCACAGATTTACCTTGAAATAGTCAAGAAGGCTTATTGTTATCATTTCGCTTCAAACTCAGTTATATTCCTTCATTTCTATTGAAAAACACGATTTTTGTAGAATCTCCTTTAACAATGAGTCCTAAGATATAGAAAGCGAGGCATTTGATTCTTGATTTAAGCTAGAATACTTCCAACTGGTAATCTGTTCACAAAAATACTTATAAAGCAGCTACCACGCTACTCAAATTGATTCCTCACTTAATTTGTCAAAAAACAGCCAGTGCGAAGAAAATGAATAAAAATGCAGAGTTTCAAAGCGTGTGAGAAATTCCATAACTTTGTGATCAAAAAAGAGCATGTTCCTGAAAAAGAATGGACCAGTCCGATCGATTTACTGCATTCCTCTGCCATTTTCTGTCTTAAAATATGTAAAAATCACCTTTATAGTCCTATCCGCAGACCCGGTACAGAACCATTTGTTGCCTGGTTCCACGGCGACACACCTGACCCAACCAGTATGACCACTGATTACCTTCAAAGAAAAAATGGACATTCATTGTCATCATAAAGTAGACCTTCAAAAATTAAAATATACGATATGTGATACTTCAGGTCCGCATATTAAGGTATCAAAGTAAAGTACAAAATGAATAGGCAAAGGTCGATCATTAAAAGATGTTTTAGATAAAGTCAACATCTGCGTATAAGTTGGGTTTTTGGAACAAGAGTTTGGCGCGGAATCTACCATTCAAAGTATAAAAAGGGCCTGGAAAACGACCAAATATCTGCGCTTACTCGGTAGCAAACACTTCTGTTATATTTATGGAAACACATCAGTGACACGACTAAACCAAAATCTGATCAAACATTTCTATGCGACACGACTCAAATAACCCTTAAAATGGTTTTCGACTGATTTTCAACAGTTTCAGGTAGAAAATGAGAGCGAGAAGTCTAAAAAATAGCTAAATTTCCAGCTGTTGAATTCAAACGTGTAATATGATTTTGCCGAAAAAGGTTCTGCTTGAAACTAGAGTTGGACACAACAAAGAAGAGACTAAAAAGGCGGACGAACAGCACAGAACGATGTCCTAGGAAAACAATACCCAAAAAGGCCACAGGCAGAATAAGGGTGTAAGATATTTGAGCGAATCGCAGAAAGTTACAAGGATAGTGGTTGATAAGATGGAAGGAGAAGGAAAAGGAGGTAACGGAAAACATCAGAAGAATATCAATGAAATGAAACACGATTAAGGAAGCGAACAAGCAGTAAAGGAAGAAGAACAAGAGAAATTGCCATTATAACTAAGTTCAATGATGCTTTGAAGTTTCACGGAATAAACGATCAGCAAATAAACCATTACCCTCATTAATTTCCATGGTGCATGCCATTCCGGTTTGGGCATTGTTTGAGCCTTCCTAGGAACAATGCCTTGAGAAAATGGCGTCTTGCTTTCTCCAGTTGCAACCAATGCTTTTGATGGTGCATCAATTCGTTCAGCACCACCCGATGCCTTCGCTTTGTTCATCATCTCATGTACTCCATGCGACGCTTTGGCAGCATTAATTCTTAATGAAAAAGGAAAGCAACTCGCTACATTGGTTAAGAAAATTTTCTGTGTCTCAATTTCAGATTCATTTGAGATTACTAACAATGTAGCGAAACGGCCTTTGCTGTAGCCTGCGTCACAGACCATAACTTAGGAGGAGTTATAGAGTTATCTCCTCCAGTAAGGTCTGTACCGCAGGCTACAGCAAAGACTTCAGTTGTCTCAGTTAACGGCACTATGTTCTGGCGAATTTCGATGGCCTTTTCCCATTAATTGGACTATACAATAGACCTATCGCTACGTATTTGATAAAACAGATAAAGATAAACTAGTGTGATTGCGAAACAGTGGCAAAGGTTTATAAAAGGTGTACACAAATTAAGAAAAGTATAAAATGCTCACTCGTGATTTGATGGAGGAAGTGAACTAGTTAATTTACTGACAGCTAGAGCAGATGGTCCCGTTCCTGTCTCAGCTGTATCATCTGTAAGTGACACTCCTAGAGGACATATGAGAAATATCTCACAATTTGAGGTCAATTATGTAAGAGTCTACTTTCATAAGCAAAGGAATTCTTTCAGGGATGAAATGTTCAATCTGGCTT